GTGCATTTAGAACTTACGGCTGACCTTTTCACAGAAAAATTTTTGCTTGCATTTAGACGGTTCATAGCGAGAAGAGGTTTGTGCGAATAGTGTACACCGATAACGCAAAACCTTTTTAAAAGAGCGAAAAAAGAATTAGAGCTATGAACGAGGTGATGAAAGCAATAATGTTCAGACGAGTTCTCAAGCAAGGAATCAAATGGAAATTACAGTTGAGAGGGCGGCATGGTGGAGAGCTTTTGGGAGCGTATGGTTCATTCTCTGAGAGCTCTTTGAAGAGAATCTTAGGCAATCTCCTTAACTTCGGAATTAGAGACATTATAACAGAAGGGAAGCTATAGTGAACTCCAGACCTTAACATTTACATACTCGGATCTAGGAGAGCCAGAATCTTTGACCCCTGGTCAATAGGAAGACGGTTACTGTCATTGCCGCAAAGAAGCTCTAAGTTAACTTCAACAAAGGAGAGTCTTACACGTCGATTTAAAACATCAACAGATACTGGTAGAAAGAATCTGGCGAAATGGAGGCAGGATTATTTGTGAATTTAAAATCTCTCATCATTCCAAACTGGCGAAAACAGGAAATTGTATTAGTGCATGAATAAAAATTCCACGCTGAGTGAAGATGGGCATTATAATGGAAGTCTTTTCTGAGAGAGCGGGCAAGGGAGAGCCTGTGTGTCCGCTTGCCAAATGGCCATACGATTAAAAGACCAGTGCAATTACTATATCCAGTGGAGCTGGAATGTAATAAGGACAATTACAGCAATTGTCCTTCCGGACGAGAGGATGTTGCAACTCAACTCTTGCTGTGATCCGATGGCTGAGTGATGTCATCTCGAACTATGAACTCTCGCTTAGAGATCACGAGAACTCGGAACTGAGAAGTCGCGCGCGCGTCGTGTGAACATTTAAACCTTTCATTATGTAAATATTCTATAACCGTTTTGCGTCTTCATTAAATATGTTTGCGTAAAGAAAGTATTAATGATTTATGGATTATCCCTCTCAAGATTTGGCAGATGGAGTTGAACAGAGGACAACAACCAATGGCCCTGGCAGAACCCATTGGAACAAGGTAAGCAGATCTGTTTTACCTTGATTAATTAGTTAGAAGTAATGATAACGATAAGGAAATAAATAATAGCACATAACTCATTGTGTTTAAAATTTCTTGGTTTTGGTTTATTTCATTATGGCAAAGCACTCGAGCGCTATCTGTCTAAGGGAAATGATGCCTTCATGGAGGTTTTTTTTAAGGGAAACTGGTTTGTATACACATTACACATGGGGAAAAACCATAAAAACACTCATGCAGTCAGCCTATTTACCAGGATTCCAACTCCTGACTGAACTACCAGTTATCAGCATTTTTACTGCTTGGCTGCTAGGGGGCCTTACCTCTAAAACTGAAAATTCAATGCATTGATATACATCTCATATGCAATTAAGATTTTAATATGTGATTACATTAGAAAATAATGATGTTTCCTCACAGTTTTAATTTTATTTTCATGCATTATTATAATTTCAGCATAATGGCCAGGGTAGAACATTTTGCTTTCAGAGAAGATTCTGTAATTGTCTTCTGAAAAATCAAGATATTTTCTGTAAGATTAATGCCAATTAGATTTTTGCTTTATTTTATTTCTGATATAGGTATGCTTCACTTGAAGTAATGTTAACAGTATCATGAATATTTATTTTGCATCAGTTTTTCAGAATTTAATAAGCATAATTCTCTTAGAATATACAGCACAACTGTGCTAATTATCAGTGATCTTTGAATTACTTTTTTTTTTTTTTTTTTTTTTTTTTTTTTTTTTTTTGAGGGGAGGGTAAGGAAATAATACTTTGAAAGAATTTGGGGAAGAGAGAAAAATCCCTTATCCTTCCCTTAAAAAAACTATTACCATATTTGCCGGTGTATAAAGTGCACTTTTTCCCTTTGAAAATAGGTCTGAAAAACGGGTCTTATACATCAATACTCAGTTTTTGATTACATTTATTTCAGTTTGTGAATGGGTCAAAGCTTCAGGAGATGCTGTGAAAACAGAGACAGTATTTAAATCATTTAAGAAGTGTGGCATTAGTAATGCACTGGATGGTACAGAGGCCGATTTGTTGATGATGATGATTTAGAAAAAGTTTCAAGTTACTCTTCATTTAGCTCTGGAGATGAGTGTCTGGATTTTGATGAAAAAGATTAAAAGGTGTTCTTTCCTAGACAGATTGGTATTTGCAGAAAGTATTACTTTGTATTTGTATTATTTTATATTTAAAATACCGTAAATTCATTTTAATGATCAGTAATAAAGTTTTATCTTTCAAAAATGTGTACGAAAAAAGGGGGGCGGTGTCTTATATGCCGGCAAATATGGTATATTAAGGATGCAAAGCAAATTTCATTTCAGATATTTCCACTTTTTTATGAATTAAAAAAATTCAGATTTATTACTCTGTATATGAAAGCGAAAATAAAAAAGAAACACCTGCCACAGTTTTTTGTACAATAAAGCAGCTTATGACATCTCTCTTGTACTTAAGTATTGTTATCACAATAGAGCATCCCGTGCTCTGAAAATAAGCAATTTAAAATCCCTTTTTAACAATACTTAAAAATAGTTAAAATATGATTTATAACTACATTAAAGATACACACACACATGTAGCATAAAGCAGAATGCAAATTCACAATACATCTCACATAAATCTGTTCACCTGGCAGTTGAAATGTATAATGGGTATTGAGATAAGCTTATAAATATAAACACTCACGGTTGCCAAAAAAAGTTTGTTATGGTTTTTTTAGGCTCTTGCTAAGCTTGCAGTTTACCAGTCTGCTTTTACACTCACTCCTACTAACCCACTTTTTTGTGTTTTAGCTTTATTAATAAGCATCATTTTCTGTGCACTTTATGCCAGATAAAATTCAACAGCAAAATTTTAAAGGAGCATAGCAGTTAAGTTTAGAATTCCAATGCAGTGATAAGCATTCACATACAATTTTCTGTTCTCACCATATCTCTTCTCAGTTTATTGCATTGTTAAGAACACACACATACATGATTTTAGTGAAATCATATGTGAAATTGTATTTTTCTGCATAATACAAGATGAAAAATATAGAGATAAAAGCTATGTCAGAATACAGGGAAGTCCATTTAACATTGAGTAAACGGATATCTCGGTAACTACGTGAGATATCACCAAGTTAGCAACAGTTTTGGCAACTAATTTTTGTCGCCAAATTTGGCAATGAAAAGTTAAAAAAAAAAAAAAAAAAAATGCCATTTTGGGTCAGGTCCCTATATTACCATAATATGTACTGTAATTGATCACTATATTAGCTGTAATTGCAATTTGATCTTCATATTGCCTTCCAGTTATTTCAAGAAGTACTAGAAATATCTCGCCAGCTGGGTGAAAATTATATAACTTTATATAAGGCCAAAGAGAGCATCTGCTCTGAGTTTTTCTTGTTAGAAGGAATTAAAAAGGGGGGAGCAGATTTTTAAATTAAAAATTAGTTTGTTTTATTTTCACATTATTTTTCAATAAAAATTTATATCTTAAATTAGTACCCTACACTAGTGCAGCAGTTTCAAGTTAAATTAACTTATTACTAAAATTTGTTATGCCATAAGCCTAATTAATGCTACATTAAATAGATGCTTAGATTTCCCTGCTGAGTGAAACTGAAAATAATTTTAAAAACTGAGGTGTGAAAAAATAAAATAAATTAAAAAAAAAAAAAAAAAGAGTTACATTTAAGGCAAAAAAGATTATTTCTGAAGCAATGAACATATACATATACTTCCGATACTTTATTTTAGTTTTCAATTTCATGTATCAAATGCTAATATAGGCTTTTCTATTTAGTGATTTGAATAAGCACATGAGTTCTAAAGTTGTTTCAAGACTAAATTGTTCCTGCATTTGCTGTGCATAAAAAATTCTGAATACATTCTCTCAATACCAGAAGATTCTACTTAAGCTATAAATATTGTTTCAATAATGTTTAATTCTTTTACTTCAGTGCACTATTTTGATGCTTTATGGATTGTGCTGTCAAGTCTTGTAAACCTTTCCACTTTTTTTTTTTTTTTTTTTTAATAAAAAAATGGACTATTAAGGGCAGGCAACTAACTGAGTTACAATCTTGAGTAATACAATTATAATAAATTCTCTCTGATAGTTTCTTTGACAAAGTTCTATACTCCCACCTCTTTACTGGCTAATAAACAATGTAAAATATATTTCTGAGCATACAATATTTTGATTATAATCAATAACTAGAAGAAATACTATTTAAGCTCATGAACTGAATCAGTACTTTTTTAATGTAAAGTTAATGCCACTTTGGTAGATAGATGATTATTTTTACGCTTGAATTCATTAAAATAGAAGTTACTATGTACTTTCATTACATATTTATCTCCACCAAGATTAGTTGTCAATCACTTGCAATAATGGCTTGCATTATTCCAAAAGTATGACGTATGGATAATGCTATAATTCTGCATCTTACAGATAAGAATTACTATACAAATTTGTAGGAGCAATCTCTTAATTATTTATTCCCCCCATATATCAAGAATAATTAAACATTGGGTTACAAAACAGTATTAATGCAAGAGTGAGGACAAAATTAAGATTTTGGGGGCACGTTTTGAATTACTTACAACAAAGTGCATGCAAAGATCACAAAACTCAGATTTTAAAATGGCCGATATGGTTACTTTTGGAAACCTACAAAATTTTCTCACGATCTCTGCTCTTTTGTCTTACAGATAAAAGAATAGAATCCCCAAAAAAGTACAAGCAATGAATGCAAAAAATTATGCTAGCAAAAGTTTTTTTTTTTTTTTTTTTTTTTTTTTTTTAGAACACAGATATCAAGACTCTTTTTCTTACTCTATAAAAATCAATAAGTTTTACTGAAAATTAACAATAAACTTCTATACTGTTAAGCATATAAGAAAGAAAATATCTTACAGCAACTGCCATCTTCCCCAGAATTTGTTCTGGTATAGGTGCTTGAAGTCGTTTTAATAATTTATCTAAGCAAGTAGCCATTAATTCCATGCATATCCAGACATCTGACTCAGTAATAAAATATCCATAACACTGAACGATATGAGGACAATCATGACACCTAAGAACCACATCTAAATCCATAGTTATTCTTTTATTTTCTTCTTTATTCCCTGATCGACGCATTTGCTAGGGGGGAAAAATTTATGTAAGAAAAGAAATATTTGCCAGAGTATTATACATTAAAATTAAAAAATAAAATTTTAGAATAACTTTTTACTATATATTAATCATACTGGAAAAGAAAAATATATGTAAGAAAAGAATTACATATTAAAATTAAAAATAAAATTTTAGTATAATTTTTCAAAACATGTTAATTATAATGGAACATAATTATGATCTAATGATATTTCTTGTATTCTACCAGCAGATGATTATGTTTGAAAGATGCATCTACCAACAGATGACATTGCTTGAAAGATGCAATCTATGCAATGCTGATGTTTTTCCTCTTTCCAGCATGAAGTTCAGTGTAGATACGCACATAGAGCGTTAATAAAACAAAGCAATAATCCATGATGAATGTCTTAAAACAAGAGAGGGAAATACAATGATATTTTAAAATATATATATATAGGCATATCTCATATATTTTTTTTAATTACGCAAAAGTTATATGATTTTCCTCATTTTAACAATTTTCTCCCTTTATACTGTGACAAACTGACATATACACATTAAAAAAAAGAATTACAAAATTATTCTGTACAGTAATTCAAACACTATAAGCTTTAAAAGCTACAAAATATGTAACCTTACTTTCACGGCTATGACTTTGTTAGAAGGTTTATGTTTCATTTTGACTACATGGCCACAAGTTCCAGTACCAAGTTCACCCAGTTGTTCTAAGTCTTTCATATCAGCATTATATTTCTAGAAAAGAAAACAAAATCTTGTAGCTAATTTCAATGAACAGAAGAAGACAACTAAATTTTAATTTCGTCCCTTCTAAAATTAATACTATTCTTTTTTTAATGTTATTTGGTTGTAATATAGTTGTACATTGTGTCGACCTATCTTCTGCTATCCAAAGCATCCAAAGACCTTGTTTGGATCAAAGTCCAAAGAGTTTGTAGCAGGCGAAAGTTTATTCGCTTGGAGTGATGCATAGTTATCTAGATGTCACTATAATTCAGTTTCTCTCAAGGGTTTAGTCATACAATTTGCACAATTGTTAAAATAACAATTTTTATTAAAATTATTCATCACAATTATGAGTGTTTCCGGCCCAAATAACTAAAATTTAGACATGTAAATTGCAGACCCTTTAAAATTGCTCCATGGACACAGGTATTTCTCTCACTATACATACTCTTCTTAGGTCACATTGCATGTTGCATGCTTGTAATTATTGTTAAGAAATGTTCAGCTGCAGTAAGATAGCTTCCACACAAGGTGAATTTAGGGCTACCAGAAAAAGCATGGGAAGGCAGGGTTGCCACATTTGGTGAGAAATCGTCCATTTAGTGACAAAATTGGTGATATCCCATAGATGGACGGAGAACATTATGGAACAATATCAGTTTGGCACAAAATGTTCTCGAAAGCGGCCCAAAAGCTCTATAAACCCTGCCTGTACGTGGAGCAGGAGTCGATCGCAAGTCTAGTGTTGAGTGTATCGAGAGTGTGCATTGCTGAGGCTATCGAACATATCATCGAGTGCATCACGAGTTGTAGCGTGGAAAGTCTCGAGAGTACACCGAGTTCCAAGAATGACCGAACCGAATCGGGAGCTGTACTCTAATGCTTTGCTGCGAAGCTGTCTTCACCGTTATAGCCTGAAGACTGTGTTGCTGATTGTTTCAGTGTGCCTATCATAGTTTTTCAATGATTGTAAACGTGTTTTGCGGAGCTGTCCTGAGTAATACTAGCAAATAAATTGTGTTGTGATACTCCATCAAGTGTTGTTGTCAATCACTCCAAATTCATGGACCCGTACATAATGCAACAATATAATGGAAAAGGGTAATGGCTACTTCTGATCAGGCAGCATCTTGACTTATCTTTCTTTACTTTCATACCATGCACTATAAGAAATTTACTTGTTTTAAAAAAATTATTTTTGAAAACAACACATTATACCATACATTATATGAACCCTATTTCTTCACTCCTTGGCTATCTTTTAAAAATTGCACTAAAATATCATAATCATTAATTTTGCATTCATGTAACAAAAAGAGCTCACGGCAACATTCAGTATTTATTACATAGCATTTATTCCATTTTGGTACAAAATGCATTTTACATTATTATTGGTTTAATAATTAAATTACACTGAGGCTGTATATGTTGCATAAAAATATTATATTTGGTATATTTGTTTGCTATTATCCAGGTTTTGAGACCTGTGAATAAGACATGGAAAGTGTTACCCACAGATACAGACATACTACTACAAATAAATTTAAAACAATTTTTTTTGTAATATTTACTTTTATAAAACTAATTGATTCACTCTGCTATTTTTGTAGATTAAAATAGATGATGATGGTGTGATATTTATCATATAAGATGCATTAGGGCAGCTATTAGTTGTTATTAACAAAATAAATAATCTGTGAATTTAATGATTAAACTAGTATTATCCTATAAACATTTTCTAGTTCAAGAAATCAATTTTCTCATAATGATTAACAATATTCAGAATGACTCTTTTTACACACATTTTGAAAAATAACACATATTGCTTAACCCTCTCAGGGCCTTGTTAATAAGTAGAACTTTGGATCTACTTATTAACAACTGTATTTAAACAGTGTGTTTGCTAAATTTGTTTAATTAATTATTTTAGTTTCTACTTACATAAGCTTATTAAAATACATTAAAGAAAATAAGGAAACAAAATATTTTAAATAGTAAGGTAACATATATATCAAATGACAAAAAAATCTTATGACCGGGTAAAGGTGGTCATCATGCCATTCAGGGAGCAATGATATGTAACAATTGGGGAGGGGGAAAAAATTACATTACAGAAAACACTATAACTTACTATTCCATTAATAGTCAATATGTTGGCTTGTTTCATAATTTCTTGAAGTTTCCAATCAGTTTCACTGATGCCACTATTAAATAAATAAATATATAAAACTAAAAATATAAAAGTTAGCTAAGAATTTGAATTTATTAACAAAATTAAATAAATAATAATTAGCAGCAGTAAAGAAATCATTACAACTATAATAGCAGACAAACTCTAATTGTAAGTAGAAATAATTTTTAAAAAGGAAAAGTGTTATGCAGATATTAACACAACCACCTTGGCACAATCTGGCAATTTTTTTACATATGAAAAGGAAAAAGTTATTTATCCAGTGCAAATTGGTGGTTTTCGTGAATTTGTTTAAAACGATTCCCAATCTATTAATATTTATCATAAGTCAGCAGACATTACCAACATATGGAGGGGGGGGGGAATCTTACTTTAGCAATTTAAAATGCAAATTTTAATTAGTAAATAAGGATTACATAATATATTAAAAAATGAAATGCTTATATTCTTCACCAAATCTTTAGGTATGCTACTCTTCTCTCCAAAAACACAGTGATCTGATTCCACCATTAAAGAATTGCAAAGACCTGGCATCGCGCACAACTAAAAAATACTGGCTATCTACGAAACACATTTCTCATTGTTCCCTTTACACAATTTGTGGCAAAATTCTTCATTCTTGCAAAAATTTTACCGCATTTCTTCCACTGCAGGCAAATTTCACAAGCACATATTTTTAAAGTAAATCACATTTGCTTGAAGGCCAAAAAAAATCACATTTTGTTTATAAAAACCATCGGAACTTGGAATATAACAAAAAGAATGCATACAAAGTGGCATTATTTTACTGCAAGACTGTTATCAGCATAGTTGCTTAAATGTTTATGCACATGGTTGCAAGAGTTTGACACATTCTGAAAATTTGGAAATTTCTACTTAAGTGGCTGCGACAACACGCAAGTACTGAAAAATCAGTCCATCTACCTCTATATTCTTCTAAAACAAATTTTTTTAACTTTGAAATGACCTCAAATTATAAATTAATACTACAGATTTAACTTATGTACAGGCTTGGAGGGATGAGAAAAGATCACTTCTATTTAAATAGCACAGCCAACAAATACGTCATTAAATTCAATGCAAATGAATATTTTACTAAAGTAATTACAATCTAATAAAACAATAAAAACTTACTCAAAGTCAGTTTTTAAACACACTGAAAAAATACAACCACATGAAAGTATTATTATTCAACTGATCCCTTTTACTTTATTAAAAAAAACACACACACACAAGAAAGCTTTCAGATTTTACATTGCACACAAAGAGATTTTTTTTCCATTCACATATACATTCATGTTTCAAGAGCATTTGGGCTAAAAATATTTAAAAATCAGCACGTGTTTAGAATTTTCGATAGGCAGTCTCGTGCGCTGGAGAAAAATATTTTATTCTGTATAGCATGTTGCCACTGCTCGCTTTGAAATCATTGAGCTTCTTAATCAACAATTCACTTAAGTTTTACAAAATACGAAATAGATAATAAAACTAATTTGAAATTCAAGATTCGGGCTTCAATGTGCCCATATTCGGGTACAGGAAGCCTGAACTTGTGAAACTTGATGGCTCTAGGTATCCTTATTTTTTCCCATTATGAAAAATATACATACATTCATGCAAATTCTTCATTATTTAATTACTTTAAATACAATACAGAGCAATAATATTTGGTGGCAACAATTTGAAAAGTGATACAGCTTGATACAGCAAGTTAAATTTTGTCCATAGAAAGAGTAAAGTTTTTTTTTTAACCAAACGGTAAACATACATATTATTGACAATGTTTTTGAATGCCAACCAAGCATTCTTTAGCTGTTTATTAGTGACTCGACTTAAAATGCCATTTCGAGACTAATAGCCCTTTTGGGTAACGCCCCTTTGGGCTAAAAAGAGAGGGGGGAAGTTAAATCCTCTCCCCCCAAAAAGATATCCTATTATTTCTGTATTATAAAACACTTTTTGCTGTTCATTTATGCCTCGGAAAAAGACACCATTCAAAGCATAATTTTACTGTTTCTGATGGATGTTAATTATTTTGTATTACACCAAATTATTGTTTCACAAATAAAAACTGAAAATTAATTACACTAACACGCAGGGTACAACTGATATTCGTAGCAATTTTTTTTTTATAATAAAATATGAAGCCTAGCAAATTTTTTTTATCTCCATTATAGGTCAACACATAAACAAGACAAGAAAATGTTACTAATAAAAGTTATTTAAGTATGTCATTCTGTTTCCTTTGTTTAATGAAATAATGAAATAACCTAAAAGGTTATGTTTAGAAAAATTTTACTACAGTGAAAATTAACTGATGACAAAAGTATGGCTTCTCATTGAAAGTTTTGAAAGTCTCTCTCCACACTCACTATGACCTTTGCACTTGCAATGCCACTCAATCTACTGGTTTAACTCAGGATGCAAAACAGAGGTGACATTAAGCTGCCTTTTTGGGGGGAGGCATTAACCTACCAGCTCAATACTGCTATAAAGATGATAAAATTAGAAAACACGTAACATTCTGAAAAGTTAATGTCATTTGAATTTTTATCATGGATATGAAAATTTGGCACTTATGTAATGATGAAACATTTTCAATACAATGTCTGCATGAGGAATTATTTACTGTGAAAAAAAGTGTGCTGAAAACCATCAAAGGAAGCACTGAAATGAAGTAAAGACATGCTGAGACGGAAAAGGATCACATTTTGAAAATTAGTTTGAAGGATTGAGAATAAAATTTTTTAACAGCAGTTTGCTTCATTTATGCATAGTGTTTAGAAACAATCTTCATTGAATTTTGCCATTATCAAATTCATATGAAATGCTGTTGTTGACTGGAACATGACAATCATGATGGAAGTTTGTAGCAATGCATTAATGTCTAGACCAGGAGTTCTCAACCTTTTTTTGACGCATGCACCCCTTTCACCATTGCTAGATCATTCCCACTCTTTTCCAAAACTCGAAAAAATAAATATGTACATTTACTTAGATGATTTTTTTAATGTGTTTTATAAATTAAACAACCAAAAGTATACAGAATGATGATAAATATAAAGCCTAGAATAAAAGTAATTTTTTATATTTGTAAACTAAAACTAAATACTTAACAGCCAGATAAAAATCTGATCCCATTCTGCCTGAAACTATGAAACCCCTCCTAGGGAGAATTCTCTCCTGGTTGAAAACTCGTCGTTAAACTAGCAGTTAAAATAAGTGGCACTAGTAATTCTAGGAAACAACAATTTTGTTGTCTTATATCTGTCACTTGTTTCTGACTAACTTCTAGATCTCTGAATTTAAATATAACCAGTTTTATTTAACAAACCAGCTTTTTAAGCTACAGGATACTCTCTCTTTGTCTCAAAAATCACATAAAATATACACATAAAGGAAAATAAAGGGAAAACTTACCAAACATACTGTTCACAAATAACAGTTTTATTCATACAAAGCCTATATATAGTTACTGCAAGTTAAATTTTGTCTATAGAAATAGTAAAGTTTTTTTTTTTTTTTTTTTTTTTTTTTTTTTTTTTTTTTAACCAAACGGTAAACATACATATTATTGACAATGTTTTTGAATGCCAACCGAGCATTTGTTTGAAGTTCTGTCATCATTCCAATAAAATGTCCATCTTTAAGGAGCTGCCGAATCTCTGGAACATCAAACACACTGGCCTCTACCGTTTCAAATAACAGGCTAGGACATGCCAAAATGAGATAGATACTTGAATGAGTCTTCTTCAACTGGCAAAGCTTTAACAAACTGTTTCATGAGACACTCTTTTATATGCAGTGGGAGAAATATAATGTTCTTTCTATCTACAAGTGGCTGTTATAGAACGTTTGGATCACCAGGTATCAGATCTTGGTGGCCAGTTCAACTGTACCCAATGCTTCTCGTGAGCTCTGCTGGTCATATGCACAAATAAATAAATAAAAAGGACACTTGGTATATATGCACTGCTTACCAAAGAGGAAGCAAGACCATTTAAGGTCAACACAGATGATCCAATGGTGCATGTTATACAGCAACAAATCAATGATTTCGCATTCTTCCCACAAACAAACTGAATGGTCTATTGTGAATACACCAAATATATTTCCATTGTGAAGGAGGTCACACTTCTAGCTCTGCTTGAGCTATCAATGAACAATCACCAATGAGTTGCGTTAGAGGCTAAAATTCCTAACTCTCATTACATCACATACATTATGGCAATGTATAAATCCATCATCACTTCGAAAGAATTGCAGAAACAAGCTTTCTTTTGATCTAAAGTAGGATTCATTTGGAAGTCAAATAACAAAAATCGGCATTATATTTTCAAATTTTCACAGGACTAGTTTCAACGATTTTACTGAACCATCATCCTCACCTGCCAAAACGCAAATGAGAGTGCAACGAAATAAGATATAGTGATTAGATAAGATAAGAATGGCTGGGCAGAAGTTAAGCTACTGGCACCATCTGTTGATGAAATGAGAACTAAAACATAATTTCCAAAAAGGCTGAAGGCAAAGATAGATTGGAATTAGGGTCATTAACTAGAACGGAAAGATTTTTTTGACTGTGAAATGTCTCTAAAAAATTTACTTCACCAAAGGAAGATTTTTTTTTTTTTTTTTTTTTTTTTTTTTTGAATAATTTTGCTTGCAGAAAAATGGAAAATGTGATTTTCGGACCAACAATGCTTCTGTGTTTCCTTTTTTCTAACATATGCCTCATGTTCCTTAATGCGAAATTTTAAGGCTCTCTTAGTTTGACCAATGTAAATTAAACCACACTGGCAAGGAATCCTCTAAATACCTCAGGAATTCATATCCAGAATGGAGTCCTTAAGTATGGAACTCAGAATTTTATTGATAGGAGAATAAACGAACCAATAGTTAAATTTCTTAAAATATGTGCAATTTTATAGCTAATTGATGAAAAGAAGGGAATGACAACAGGATTCTTATTGTCTCCTAAAACAAAAGTGTGCCTTTTGGTGCGTGAGAATT